GACTCTATATTCTGACTTACTTATTTTTAAATACAAAAACACATAAATACATGTGGCCATGCATTTTTTAAAATTCTTCACGACAAAGCATTATATAACACGTTTTTAGAAATTCTCTTTTAAAGTTCCACTACCAGAACCCATGAGTTGTGTATCTTTCTAACTATACCCACTTTTCACTTATTGACTATTTCATTATCCAACATTTCACATTTATGGCAATAGCAGAAAATCTGCTATTTTATTATTCTGTTCATTATGTAAGTTTGACAGTAACGGAGGTGGTGGTTGGTGAAAGTAATGCTGGTTGTGATGGCTAGGGTTATGTGTCAGCTTGTCTGAATCATGATTCTCAGTGGTTTGGTAGTTATGATATAATTTAGTAGTTATGTAATAATGTAATTTGGTAGTATGCAATGATGTAACCATCCTTAATTTAGTGACCTGATGTGGTTGTTCTCCATTTTCACATAATGCCAATTTGCATGTAATGATTTAGTCTTTGGAACCTAACCATTTTGATGGTAAGGAATTGTTGCTGGTAGTGCTGTTGAGTTGTTCCCTACTCAGTGACCCTGTATAGGGTTTCTTAGGAGAGGCTGTTGGATTTGAACCTCTGACCTTGCAGTTTGCAGCCCAGAGCCACACCAGAACATGTTGTTGTTGTTAAGTGTCCTTCAGTTGGTTCTGACTTCTAGAGACCCTGAATAGGGTTTCTAAGGAGCAGCTGGTGAGCTTGAATGACTGACCTTGTGGTTCAAACAGACCTTGCAGTCCAGAGCATTAATCCACAGTGCCGCACCAGGACATGTTACTGTTACTTTTGTTGTTAAGTGCCATTAAGTTGGTTCTGATCCATAGCTACCCTGTATAGGGTTTCCAAGGAGCGCTGGTGAACTTGAACTCGTCTACCTTACAGTTCAAACAACTTTGCAGTTTGGTGCATTAACCCACAGTGCCACACTGGGACTCCGGACATGTTACTAGTATAATGAACCCTCATATGCCCATCAATCAGCCTCATTAATTGTTGGCCATTCATTTCATCTCCCTTCTACCCCCACCCTCATATTATTTTGTAGTAAATTCCAAGCATTATACAAGAGTGCTTCAGTTATATTTTAACTCCATTTTTCTGTGAACTTTTTTAAGTTCCATAATATCAGGGAAAATTATTTCCGATGACCCTCAATACCAGTTTTAAGATTAGCTACTGGAATTGATAATGAGGCTTCATTTACTTTTACTTTTACATTTCTTTATGTTTTGCCGAATATTCTTACATGCATTTCATTCTTAGAGGTAGATAGGGTTTCTTATTCTTATTCTCATTCTTAGAGGTAGATAGTGTGTGTGTGTGTGTGT